CGATGATGCTGTGCAGGCGATGATGCTATGCAGGCGATGATGCTATGCAGGCGATGATGCTATGCAGGCGATGATGCTGTGCAGGCGATGATGCTATGCAGGCGATGATGCTATGCAGGCGATGATGCTATGCAGGCGATGATGCTGTGCAGGCGATGATGCTGTGCAGGCGATGATGCTGTGCAGGCGATGATGCTATGCAGGCGATGATGCTATGCAGGCGATGATGCTGTGCAGGCGATGATGCTGTGCAGGCGATGATGCTATGCAGGCGATGATGCTATGCAGGCGATGATGCTGTGCAGGCGATGATGCTGTGCAGGCGATGATGCTATGCAGGCGATGATGCTATGCAGGCGATGATGCTATGCAGGCGATGATGCTATGCAGGCGATGATGCTGTGCAGGCGATGATGCTGTGCAGGCGATGATGCTGTGCAGGCAGATGATGCTATGCAGGCGATGATGCTATGCAGGCGATGATGCTGTGCAGGCGATGATGCTATGCAGGCGATGATGCTGTGCAGGCGATGATGCTATGCAGGCGATGATGCTATGCAGGCGATGATGCTGTGCAGGCGATGATGCTGTGCAGGCGATGATGCTATGCAGGCGATGATGCTATGCAGGCGATGATGCTATGCAGGCGATGATGCTATGCGACGAAGGCGATGATGCTATGCAGGCGATGATGCTATGCAGGCGATGATGCTGTGCAGGCGATGATGCTATGCAGGCGATGATGCTATGCAGGCGATGATGCTGTGCAGGCGATGATGCTATGCAGGCGATGATGCTATGCAGGCGATGATGCTGTGCAGGCGATGATGCTATGCAGGCGATGATGCTGTGCAGGCGATGATGCTGTGCAGGCGATGATGCTATGCAGGCGATGATGCTATGCAGGCGATGATGCTGTGCAGGCGATGATGCTGTGCAGGCGATGATGCTATGCGACGATGATGCTATGCAGGCGATGATGCTATGCAGGCGATGATGCTATGCAGGCGATGATGCTATGCAGGCGATGATGCTGTGCAGGCGATGATGCTATGCAGGCGATGATGCTGTGCAGGCGATGATGCTATGCAGGCGATGATGCTATGCAGGCGATGATGCTGTGCAGGCGATGATGCTATGCAGGCGATGATGCTATGCAGGCGATGATGCTGTGCAGGCGATGATGCTATGCAGGCGATGATGCTATGCAGGCGATGATGCTGTGCAGGCGATGATGCTATGCAGGCGATGATGCTATGCAGGCGATGATGCTGTGCAGGCGATGATGCTGTGCAGGCGATGATGCTATGGAGGCGATGATGCTGTGCAGGCGATGATGCTATGCGACGATGATGCTGTGCCGGCGATGATGCTATGCAGGCGATGATGCTGTGCAGGCGATGATGCTGTGCAGGCGATGATGCTGTGCAGGCGATGATGCTGTGCAGGCGATGATGCTATGCAGGCGATGATGCTGTGCAGGCGATGATGCTGTGCAGGCGATGATGCTGTGCAGGCGATGATGCTGTGCAGGCGATGATGCTATGCAGGCGATGATGCTATGCAGGCGATGATGCTGTGCAGGCGATGATGCTATGCGACGATGATGCTGTGCCGGCGATGATGCTATGCAGGCGATGATGCTGTGCAGGCGATGATGCTGTGCAGGCGATGATGCTATGCAGGCGATGATGCTATGCAGGCGATGATGCTGTGCAGGCGATGATGCTATGCAGGCGATGATGCTATGCAGGCGATGATGCTATGCAGGCGATGATGCTGTGCAGGCGATGATGCTATGCAGGCGATGATGCTATGCAGGCGATGATGCTATGCAGGCGATGATGCTGTGCAGGCGATGATGCTGTGCAGGCGATGATGCTGTGCAGGCGATGATGCTATGCAGGCGATGATGCTATGCAGGCGATGATGCTGTGCAGGCGATGATGCTGTGCAGGCGATGATGCTATGCAGGCGATGATGCTGTGCAGGCGATGATGCTGTGCAGGCAGATTGGACTGCTGCTTGATTTGACTGCTCTCCTCTGGCTCTCCTTTTCCATTATTTACTACCTGTCCCTCTTTCCTTCACCATTTCCCCATCACTCTTTTTCTCTCTCTTCCCCCCCACCATTCCTTCCCAACCCAACCCCTCTCCCCACACATCACACCCTCTCGTGGATTTTATTTCCCAGTTTTGGCATTGCAGGCAACACTATCCATTCAGTGTGGGTCTCTCTTTCAATCAACCCCCCCCCTCCCCCCCCCCCCCGCGTCTCTTTCGCTCTCCCCCCACTCCTCCTCCTCCACCTCCCTCTCTCCACTTTTATTTCCCAGTTCTGGCATTGCAGGCAACACTGTGCATTCAGTGTGGGTCAATGGGCGGCTTTTGCTCTCAGGTACTCTTGTTGTTCTCACGTGTTTCAACTGGTGCCTTTTGAGTCGACTCAAAACGAGGTGACTTTTGAGTCGACTCAAAACGAGGTGACTTTTGAGTCGACTCAAAACGAGGTGACTTTTGAGTCGACTCAAAACGAGGTGACTTTTGAGTCGACTGAAAAGTCACTTCAGTGTGGGTCAATGGGCGGCTTTTGCTCTCAGGTAATCTTGTTGTTCTCATTCTCATAGTTTTGAGGCGCCTCAAAACTACTCTTGTTGTTCTCATTCTCACGTGTTTCCACCAGTGCCTCCCGATTATCAAATTTTATTGCATGCATCTTGTGAATGTTTTGTCTTTTTTTTTTTTTTCTGAGATTGCAGAACAACACCTTACCTTCTCACTAACGTTTATCCCCATTATTCACATCATCACCTCTCCAGATGGAGTCCCTACAACAGTTGATTTGCCTTCTCTTCGCCGAGCTTTAACTGAGCAGCAGCCTCAATACATGGATCCACAAATCACAGATGTGAAAGGAAAACCCATCGAGGTAAGTACAAACTTTTTTGTTGATTAAATGCATTGTGCAGGTAATTCATTCTTGCATTCTACACCCTTTACATTGTATTACGCCATTAATATGTAAATTCCTCCTACGGTATTCTTGCACCATTATCATGGTGCATGACATTTGGATTTCATTGCTTGTGTGATGGCATCGGCACGCTTGGTTTGAATCACAATCTTCTGACTTCAGGTGGAGTATCGTGCAGCAATGGGGCTTGACACCCCGCTTGGGAAGCACAACAAGAGCCACACCACAGATTACCCTAATTATAGGGTCAATTATCATGCTGATATTCCATCCATCTCGAAATCTTGATTGGAATACAACATTTTATACATTATAATGTTGGATGTCAAGAAGTTGTTAAATGAAGGCATTATGCCCTAATCTTTACAACATGGGAGTCTGATCATTCAGATGCACTATTGAGGGCAATTGTGCAGAAGTATATGCACTAAAACTTCAGGATTTTCATGATTTTGCACGCCTAGTTATCGTCCTCCAGCAGTGTAGGTGATGAAGGTCCAGCAAGTCGCTTTTGTAGGGGGTACATGCCAAACCTACTTGGCATGCCGTTCTCAATTTGGGCAGCCCAGGCCAGACTCCATTGACTTTCACCGAAGAACGGCCTGCCACAAGAACGGCGTTCACCGACACGGAACCAAGCAACATCGCTAGCTGGCTGTAACACGTTTCGCCAACGAGCGAAGTGGCTTGTACGATCCCTCACTTTGACATCATGGCATCGCAGGCCCACGCACAGCTGTCATGCGACAGTCCAACATCTCACCAACGCGTTGCGACGTGCGGGAAGCCCTTCACGCTTGGGAACACGTTGGGAAATGGGGCAATTGGTTCGGACTCCGTACCTACGGTTCTGATTCGAATTGAATGAATCTCAGAACACCGTCCAGCCTTTTGGCTGTTGCGGAGACTGGTTTCCTTCTTGGGATTCGGTTCGGGGCCGTGTCGTGGTGGCTGGTGGAGAGGAAGGCAAAACGGGCAAGCAACCTGATCACTGATGTTGACGCACTGTCAAGCCAACTCCGCCACCTATTCACTGCTCATGCACACTGCGTGAACATTCCCGCTGTTCCCGCGGATAACCATTTTCAAATTCCCCGGATCCTTCCCCCGCTCGTCCCCCCCTATTCATTTCACGCGTTCCGCCCGCCACGTCCAGATCTTCTTCCCCCTCCCCCACGGCATTGGGTTTGTCATCCTTTGATTCGTCATCAAAGTGGTTTCAGCTAGTCCCAAGAACCATTGGAATTGTCCTGGACCAATCAGGCTCGACGTTTCGCCTTGCACCAGCCTCAACCCCTAGAGAGTTCCACAAGGTTATGTCGCGGTCACTAAGGTCAAACGGGAAGTAGCCTTTTCTATCTGACTAGGTTGTCTGAGTTGCGTCAGCTGCGTTGCTCCTTCGTTGCCAGAAAGCACGCGTTGCGCACTTTCTTGTCGAGCCATAGCATAGCATCCGTAGTTGTTTCAAGATAGACTTACCTGTAAGTATTTTCACGGTCACGACAGTGCAGGCTATTTTTTTTCGCTTTCCAAAAAAGTGGTGGAGCCATTCCTGTTTACCGAAAGGAATCGTCACTCACTACAGCTCATCGAACGAGTGGTACTAGAATTTCAATGCCCTCCTTTGTAAATTATTAATAATAATCACAATAATTAAAGACCTACAATGTCCTCTTCCGGCCATACTCGCGAAGGCGTGGCGGCGGAACTACAAGGCCGCTACGGAAGGCCAACCGACTCGCTAGAAGATGCGTTAGCGCGTATCGAAGTGCCAGCATTTGAGAAAAGAACTGGTGCCGGCGATCCTAGCAGCAACAAACCGAGAAGCAGCAACCAAAGCACGAGCAAGCCTAACAGCAGCAACTGGCGCAACAACAGTCCAAGCAACAACCCGTCTGGCGGCAAATCGCCTGGCACCAAGTCCTTGACCAACTCAGCAGAACATCCAAACGCCTCGTCACCCATTCGAACCTCCTCAACGCAACGAACCTCTTTAAGATCTCGCCTGGCCAGGCCTTTCGCGGCCATGGTTCCTGCCTTTTCCCGCTCATCCCCGTCAGCTTCTGCTCAAGTCGACCCCGACCCTGACCCCGAGTTTCCCGAGGATTACCGATACGACGGAAATTCGATAATGGATATGGAATCTTTAAGCGGCGGGCATGCCTCGGATTTTTCGCTCATGGCAACGCCGTCCATGTCTCTGGAAGACGCCCTCGCCCGAGCCACGGAGGCAGCTTCGGAGACGAGCCTCAGCTCCGTGCCAGACGAGACGGTAGCTTCTCGCGGAGGCAGGAACGATGCGTTTATGGACGCTGCGATTCAGCGTATGAGAGACGAGCTCGCGTCGATGGGGAAGGCGGAAGAGAGTCTGGAAGAAGCCATTGCGCGGGCTGCTAACGCGGGTTCCGCGGGTAATTCCTGCGCGCCATCCGCGCGCGACGCCTGCGCGCCATCCGCGGGGGATTCCCGCGCGCCTGCGGGTAACGCGCACGCGAGTGGAGCTTCTCGTGGCACCGGCAAGTCTGACGATTTCATGGATGCAGCAGTGAGAAGGATGCGCGAGGAGCTGGCGGGAATAGGGAAGGCGGAGGAGAGCTTGGACGATGCCATTGCGCGGGCTGCTGGTGCTGCTGGCGCGACTGTTTCTGGGGCTAGCTCGCACGCTTCTGGGGGTCCGAGTGGGGCTGAGGGGAGTGGGGTTGGGGGAAGTAGCGGCGGGAGCAGTGACCGACGCATGGATGCAGCCGTGAGGCGGATGGCAGAGGAGCTGGCTGGCTTAGGTCAGGCGGAGGAGAGCCTTGACGACGCCATTGCCCGCGCTGCTGCTGCTGCCGGTAGTGGTGCTGCTGGTGCTCCTGAAGGCGCTGCTGGTGCTCGCTCTCACGCTTCTGAGGGCTCGCGTGGGGCTGGGGGCAGTAGGGGTGACCCGCGCATGGATGCAGCCGTGAGGCGGATGAAAGAGGAGCTGGCTGGGTTAGGACATGCGGATGAGAGCCTTGACGACGCCATTGCCCGCGCTGCTGCTGCTGCTGGCAGTGCTGATAGTGCTGTGGCTGGTGCTCCCTCTCACGCTTCTGATGGTTCGCGTAGGGGTGGGGGCAGTGGGAGCGGGAGCAGTGACCCGCGCATGGATGCAGCCGTGAGGCGGATGAAAGAGGAGCTGGCTGGCCTAGGTCGGGCGGATGAGAGCCTTGAAGACGCCATTGCCCGCGCTGCTGCTGCTGCCGGCGACTTTGGGGCTGGGAACAGTGGGGGTGGGGGCAGTGCGGGTGGGGGCAGTGGGGGTGGGGGCGGTGGGGGTGGAAGCAGTGGGGGTGGGGGTAGTGGGGGTGGGGGCAGTACGGGTGACCCACGCATGGATGCAGCCGTGAGGCGGATGAGAGAGGAGCTGGCTAGCTTAGGTCAGGCGGATGAGAGCCTTGAAGACGCCATTCTCCGCGCTGCTGCTGCTGCTGCTGCTGCCGCTGCCGCTGCTGCTGGTGCCGCTGGTGCTGCTTCTGGTGCAGGTAGCGCCGCTGCCAATTCTGCCGCCGCCACTCCCTTCCCCCACCCGCAACCCGCAAACCCAGAACCCCTCTCAGCATACGCCCAGCTCAACCCAGCCTCAGCCGATCTCGACCCAGACGTCCAGTTCCCAGCCGACTATCGCTACGATGGCAACTCGTTTATGGACTCTGGCCTTCTCAGCTTAGGAGGTACAATGAGCTCTATGGGGGCGTCTGGGGGAGGGTATGCAGGGTCACAGGGGAGTGTCTGTACGGGCGTGACTCGGCAATTCTCCAACCTCAGCCGACCAACAGAGTCGCTGGATGAGGCCATTGCTCGCGCTGCTGCTGCTGCTGCCACCACCTGTGCTGGGAACGCTTCTGGGGCTGGGTGTGGGGGGGGGAGAGGGGCAGGTGGGGGTGCCCTCGAGCCTGCTGCTCCTGCTGTGCCTGCTTCTGGGGTGCCTGATGGTGCCTCAGCCCGAGCACCAGCCGATCTCGACCCAGACCCACAGTTCCCTGACGATTACTGCTACGATGGCAACTCATTCATGGACTCTGGCCTTCTCAGCTTAGGAGGTACGATGAGCTCTATGGGGGCGTCTGGGGGAGGGTATGCAGGGTCACAGGGGAGTGTCTGTACGGGCGTGACTCGGCAGTTCTCCAACCTCAGCCGCCCCACGGAGTCTCTAGATGAGGCCATTGCTCGTGCTGCTGCTGCTGCTGCCAATGCTGCGAGTGCTGAAGGGGGGAGAAGCGCAGGTGAGGATGCCCACGCTGCTGCTGCGCCTGGTGTGGCCGCTGCGCCTGCTTCTGCTGCTCCTGCTTTCGCTGTGCCTGCTGGTTCTGGTGGTTCTGCTGGTTGGGCTGGAAGGAGGGAGGTCTCTTTGGATACAGCAGTGAGGGAGATGCAGGAGCAGCGGGCGAACATGGGCAAGGCAGGAGAGAGTTTAGAAGACGCCATTGCCTGCGCTGTTGGTATGGCTGATGCTGCTTCCGCTGCTCCTGCTCCTGCTGGCGGTTCTGCTGGTTCTGCTGCTGGGTCTGCTGGTTCTGCTGGTGGTTCTGCTGGGTCTGGTGGTTCTGCGGGTTGGGCTGGGAGGAGGGAGGTATCATTGGATACGGCAGTGCAGGAGATGCGGGAACAGCGGGCGAACATGGGGAAGGCGGGAGAGAGCCTAGAAGACGCCATTGCTTGCGCTATTGGTATGGCTGATGCTGCTTCTGCCGGTCACTCCCACGCATCTGCAGATAGGAGAAAAGTGGGAGAGAGCTTAGAAGACGCCATTGCCCGCGCTGCTGGCCTGGCTGATGCTGCTTCTTCCAGAGCAGGCATTTCCTCCCCGTTTGGAGGTATGCCCTGTGCCTCCTCTGCTCATGGTAGTTCCTTAGCGGGTATGGGGGCAGCAGTGAAGGGGGGTGACGCGGCCATGGGGGCAGCAGGGCGTTGGGGTGATGCGGGAATGGATGCAGCAGTGGGGGGAATGTGCGAGGAGCTGGCGGGGATGGGGAAGGCAGATGAGAGCCTGGATGATGCCATTGCGCGGGCTTCTAATGAGGGATCCGCGAGCATAGGGGCAGCAAGAGAGGGGGCTGATGCAGGCATGGGGGCGGCAGTGAGGGGGATGCGTGAGGTGGGGATGGGGAAGGCGGGGGAGAGCTTGGATGATGCCATTGCGCGGGCTGCTAGTGCTGCTGCTGGTGCTTCTAATGCTGCTGTTCGTGGTGCTGGTGCTGCTAGTGCTGCTGCCGGTTCTGGTCCTACTGGTGTTTCTGCTACTGCCACTCCCCATCTAGCCATCCCCCATCCTTCCATCCCTCACCCTGCCCTCCCCCTCCCCGCCGTCCCCCTCCCTGCCATTCCCCGCCCTGTCAACCCCCCACCTGAAATCCCCCTTCCTGCTGGGACCTGGGTGCAGCACCAGATCCCCCCAGCAAGCTTCGTCCCGTCAAAAGGCACTTTTGAGGCGCCCCAAAAGCCGCCTGCACCTGGGGTCGTCCCCCCTGCTGGGACCTGGGCTCATCATCACATTCCCCCAGCAAGCTTCACCCCGTGTAAGAGCTCTTCATCAGACCCCAAGGGAAGCAGCACAGTCATTCCTTCTTCCACTGAAAGCTGCACCACCATCCCTCCCTCTAACGCCTCTCTTGCCACCACCACGACCAACGCCTCCAGCACTGTTATCCGGCCCTACGGCGCCTCTACTGCCTCTACCAGCACGTGGGGCAGTAGTGTTGGTAACAGTAACGCGTCGAGCATTGGCGAATATGGTTACGGGCTGGTTACCACGTTCGGCCTGCCGTGCGAGTCGTTGGAGGAGGCTTTGGAACGGGCGTCGTTGACGGCTAGCTCGACTCGGTCGAGTTTTGAGGCGCCGCGAAAGGCTTCTGAGGCGCCTCAGAATTTGTCGCTGGAGGAGGCTTTGGAACGGGCGTCGCTGACTGCTAGCTCGACCCGGTCGAGTATAGATGGGGGTGCAGCCCACGGGTATAATATATGTGCTGATTCTGATGCAGCTTCTAGTGCTGCTGCTGCTGCTGCCGGTGCTGCTGCTGCTGATGGTGGTGCTGCTGCTGGTGCGGGTGTGTTTGGAGCAGAGGAGGCAGGTGGAAAGAAGAAGCGGCAGGGAGTGGGAGGCATGCTTGCTCATGCATTCAAATGGGGATCCAAGCATCACTCTCACAACAACGACCCAGGTCCCCTTTCCCCTCCCACCGCTCCACCTCCCTCTGCTGCCCCCGCACCTCCTGCTGTCCCAACTGCTACAACATCCCCTGCTGCTGCCGCCGCCGCAGCAGCTGGCACCGCATTCCATCCCCCGGGATCGCTCCTGCCCTTCGAGTCAACCCTTGCAACAGAGGAAGGCTCAGGAGGAGCAGGAATAACCATGATCTTTTCCAACCTAGCTGCTAGCAAGCGAGCCGAAAGGTTCCGGCACGGAAAACACCACGACGGTTTAGCAGGGCCAGGGTCGCAGATAGGCAGTTCTGAGGCGGGATCTTTACGGTCGGCTAAGGGTTTCGGGGTGATAGAGGAGGAGGAGGATGAGGACGAAGGGCGAGCATCTGGGTGTAGCTTGTCAACGCACTCTTCAGGGAATTCGGGCTCGAAAGGGTGGCATTCCCCGTCTCATTCACACAGAGGGGCCGTGGGGCGTGCTGGGGCGTTTGGGAGCCGGGGTGGGAGTGAGCGGGGCGGTGGGAGTGAGCGGGGCGGTGGGAGTGAGCGGGGCGGTGGGAGTGAGCGGGGCGGCGGGAGTGGGCACATGGGAGGTCCGGGGGCGGTGGTTCCTCCACTGCCGTTTTCGAATGTGAGACCTGCAGCTGAAGAGGCAGCAGCAGTGGTAGCAGCACAAGCAGCAGCCACGCTTAGAAAAGGCGGAGGAGGGAAAGCAGGAGGGGGAGGGGGTGGGGTTGGGGCTATGCCTGGTCCGTTGGGGTATAGTGAGGAGGATGAGAGTGGGGGTGATGGTGGTGTGGGCTACACTGCTGTGTTTTCCAACGTGGCAGCAGCAGCCTATCGCAAGCCTCGGAAATGGGCGTCTGGCGCCAGCTCAGCGACAGGATCAGTGGCAGGTGACCTGGATCGTGATTATAGCGATCGGAATCTGCCTGTCTACAGTAGTCAGAGGGGGTAAGGGAGTGGGCTAAATATAATTTTCCAGGTGTGGTGGCGTGTGACAAAAGGTCTCAGCTTGTCCACTTTATACCTGTCTGGTAGCCAGAGGGGGTAAGGGAGTGGGCTTAGATATATTTTCCAGGTGTGGTGGTGTGTGACAAAAGGTCTCAGCTTGTCCACTTTATAGCTGTCTATGGTAGCCAGAGGGGGTAAGGGAGTGGGCTTAGATTGTAGAGACTAAGTCATAGGGAATGATTGATTAGGTCAAGGTTGGGGTACAAGACTAGAGTGTCGAGATTGTTTTTGTACCCTCTAAGGCTAACCCCAATACAGCCTAGATAATAACAAGCATATCTTTTGACACACCCCCATAGGCGAAATGGGGGATAGCCAAAGCAAGCAATGGTCACAAGACCAGTCAAGAGAAGGAACAAAACACAGCTCAGGGTGGATCACAACGTCACCACACATACTGAGCACAAGCAAACGGCCACAAGGCCAGTCCACATGCAGAGGTATATAAGCAACAAGAACAGTACAGTGATCTCTACCTAGCAAGAACAAACATGCAGGTATAGATATATAGATCACAGCACAAACAAAGCCTACAGCAAGTGAAGAAGCGTGGGCACAAGGCCTAACAAAGTACAGAAACGCTAATGATCACTAGACGGAAGTGCCTTGGTGAATATATCAGCAGTGTTAGCCCAAGTGGCCACGTAAGCAAGACGAAGCTGGCCACGCTGCTGCAACTCTCGAGCAAGGAAGTAGCGCAGGGCGATGTGCTTCGTTCTGTGCTCCTGACACAAGGCAATGGTGGCCTTGTTGTCGACGTACAGCACTGGAGGAGAACGAGGCCGCTCTCCCAAGTCAGTCAGCAGGTAGGTGAGCCAGCGTAACTCCTGTGCAGCCATGGCTGTGGCGTAGATCTCAGCCTCACAACTGGAGCCGAGAACTGAAGACGAGCGTGTAGAACGCCAAGAAACTGAACCAGAGCCAAGGCTGAAGGTGTAACCCTGTGACGACCGCTGCGTAGCCTGGTCGTCAACCCAAGAGGCGTCCGAGTGACCAGTGAGGACAACGTCACCCCGTCCTCCAAGCACGAGCCCCATGCCCGATGTACTGCACAAGTAGCGTAGTACCCTCTTAGCAGCATCCATGTGCACCTTTCGGTGCCGACCAGGAGCCACGTAGCGAGCCAGAAGGCCAAGAGGGTACGCAAGGTCAGGTCGTGTGCACGTCATCAGGTACATGAGGCAGCCCACTAGCTCTGGGTAAGGACCACTCGGCTCTACGGACTCGTCCGAAGGTGGAGCTGAGAGCGAGTGACCTGTAGCCGGAGGAGTGGCCTGTGCTGAGGACCAGGTGAAGCCGAAGCGCTGAAGGACCTGCTGCACCATGTGTGACTGAGTCAGTGTGATGGTGCGGCGTGCTCTGTCTCGGGTGATTTGCAAGCCAAGGTAGCTGCGCAATTCACCCAGGTCTGTGCACGTGTGTCTCTTCTGCAGCTCCGACTTCACCAGGGCGAGAGCCTCAGTGTCAGCAGTGGCAAAGACCAAGTCGTCGACGTACACGAGGATGTAGAACGGCGGCAGCGAAGTGTCGGTGCGCAGAAACAGCGACAGGTCAGCAGTCGACGGAGCAAACCCAAGAGCCGCAAGTGTCGTCCTCAGTGTGTCGTGCCACTCACGTGGCGCCTGACGGAGACCGTAGACCGGCCGCCGGAGGCTCCACTGGGTACCAGGAGGGAACGACCCAGTGAAGCCAGGCGGGCGGCGCAGCCAGATCTCCTCGTGCAGGCTGCCCTGCAAGAAAGCTGTGCTGAAGTCAAGAGAGTGAAGCTCGTAGTCACGCTGAGCGGCAACGTGCAGCAGCACCCGAAGAGTGGTCATCTTCGGGGTGGGGGAGAAGGTCTGGAAGAAGTCAACTCCCTCTCGCTGACTGAAACCTCGAGCAACGTAACGAGCCTTGAAGACAGGCGGAGAACCTGGCGGCCGCTTCACCCTGAAAATCCACATGCCACTGACGATGTTCGCCCCAGGAGGGGGAACCTCGTCGACGTAGGTGCCTGTGGACTGCCAGGATGCCATCTCTGCGTCCATGGCTGTCTGCCACTAAGAGGAGTAGGGACCCTCGATCGCCTCAGCGTACGATCGCGGAGTCGGGATGTCTGGTGCATCCGGGTCTCCCTCAGGGGCAAGCAGCATGGCCACGAGATGAGGCGCAGTGGCTGCAAGACACTCAAGGTCCTCCTGCCTGTCCTCAAGGACGTCCGTGCCAAGAGCACACTCACCCCCGACGGACGGAGGACAGACAGACTCAGACTCAGCAACAAGACTAGCGACGTAGTCTAGACGACAGACATCAGCAAAGTCAACAAGCTCAGCGACTAAGGCAGACGCAGTAGCAGACTCAAACGACGGGTCGGCGACAACAGTGGCTAGCAGACGCGTGACAGTAGGGTGCTCAGCACGAAACCGGTCAGACGCAGGGTCAGCAACGACAGGTAGAGAGGACGCAGGCGGAGACGGCAGGTGAATACGTGGCGGCGGAGAAGAAGGACGACGGACGACAAGGGAAGGGCCGGGGACAGCCGGCTGACGCTGATGAGGAACACGACGACTGGAACGACCAGAACGGACAGGTGAGACAGGACGCGACGCAGGCTCACGACGCTCAGCAAGGCCCCCTGTCTGCTCAGCGTAAGGAGAAGGAGTAGGCAGAGGTGAGCCAGGCTGTAACGGAAGACCAGTAGACGACGGGAGGCTAAGAACCTGGCGAAGCACGGAGTCAGGCGGTGGCAGAGACGACGGGGACGGCGGAGCAAAGAACAGGCGCGGCTATGCAGTGCCACCAGCACCAGCAGCTCCAGCACCCTCAGCAGCTCCAGCACCTCCAGCAGCTCCAGCACCCTCAGCAGCTCCAGCACCCTCAGCAGCTCCAGTACCTCCAGCAGCTCCAGTACCCTCAGCAACTCCAGCACCTCCAGCAGCTCCAGCACCCTCAGCAGCTCCAGCACCCTCAGCAGCTCCAGTACCCTCAGCAGCTCCATCACCTCCAGTAGCTCCAGTACCGCTAGCAGCCCCAGCACCCTCAGCAGCTCCAGCACCTCCAGCAGCTCCAGAACCCCCAGCAATAGAGCCTTGGGGTGCAGAAGCGCGACGCTGACGGCGACCGTACCAGACGTGCAGCTGCTGGGAGGTGAGAGGCACACGCGGACGAAGACGGCTACGCCAAGGAGACCGCGTAACAGCAGTCTCAGAACCCTCAGGCGACTCACCCCCTGACTCAGTACCCCCAGGCTCCGCACACGCAGGCTCAGCACCCCCAGACGCAGCACCCCCAGACGTAGCACCCCCAGACTCAGCACCCCCACGCTGCGCACCTCCAAGCTCCGTACCCCCAGAGACAGCACCACCGCCAGCAGGAACGGAGTCACCAGTGACCTCAACAGGCACAGAGACGGGAGGGTCTACCTGAGAAACACCGGAAGGAGCAGGACCTGGTGCGGGGAGGGGTTCTACCTGGGGAGGACCTGGGGCAAGAAAGAGCGGCGGGAGAGGGCGAAGAGCAGTGCGGTAGGGGAAGAGGCGGTAAAAGGGGACTGACTCGTCAAAGGTGATGTCCTGGGACGCAAAGACACGGCGCGAGGCGGGGTCATAAAACTGCCAGCCAGGGGCGTCAGGGACAAAGCCAAGGAAGACGCAAGGAATGGCGCGAGGGGAGAGCTTGTCCGCGGTGGTATCGTGAACAAAGGCACGAGCACCCCAGACCCGGAAACGCGACGCGTCACCAACCTTCCCCGTCCACAGCAGTGTGGGCGAGGTCTCCGGCAAGGAAACACGGGGCCAAAGGTTGAGCTGATGCGCGGCGTACCGGATCGCAAACGGCCACAGAAAATGGGGGCAACCGCATGGATCATAGAGGTACGAGCGACCTCCATGACCAAGCCAATGCGGCGCTCTGCAACCCCATTCTGCTGCGGAGAGGCCGGAAGCGTGAAAGTCTGGCGGATGCCGTGCTTCGCACAGAAGGCTGCCAAGAGGTCTGAGGAGAACTCACCACCTCTGTCAGAGTGCAGACGCAGGACAGGAAAGTCCGACTGGAACCGCTCGCGACGCTGGAGACGAGTAGAGCAAATCCAGGGGATCAAAACATCAGGGACATCCGCCTTGCGCTGCAAGGGGAAGGCCGTGGTGTAGCGCGTGTAGTCGTCGACAACCAGCAAGAAGTACCGCTCGTGGCCCTGTCCACGGACGCGGGCTGGGCCCCACACGTCCAGGTGGAGAGTCTGCAGTGGAGCCTCTGTGGGAGGGAACGAGGAGGAGTGAGGAGCGGCGCGCTGCCGCCCCTCGACGCAAGGAATGCAGGGCGGCGCAGGCGAGGGAGGGAGGGCATGCAGAGACCTGGGAAGACCAGAGACCAGAAAGCGAGAGTGCATGCTACGAAGGCGAGGCAGGGAGGGGTGGCCCAGGCGGTGGTGCCACAGGAGAGTGTCGTGAGACAGCCGGCGACACTCACACTGGGTAGCTGCCTGAGCAGACGCGTGCAGCGGGGGAGACAAAAGGGTGGAGCGCAACGCAGTGGTGAGGGTGTACAGACTGGACCCTGGCGCACGGGTGAATGTGGCCAGGTGGCGGCCGGTCTAGGAGCACGTGCAGATCGCCACACGCTGCCGGCCAGGGGTGAAGGTGTCAACACCCGTATCCTGGAGGACAGCGTTGCTCACCAATTTCGTAGAGAACGAGGGGAGATGGAGACCAGACAGCTCACCAGACGGGACTGCCGGACACGGAAGCACAATGGAAGACCGTGCAAGCACTGGGCCCACAGAGGGGTCAGCCAGGGAGACAGGAACAGGTGCAGGGAGGGGAATGACTGTGGTACTGTCGCGAAAGAAACAGCGGGAAGCACCAGAGTCAAGTGTAAAGGAGTGCAAGGCCTGTGCAGGCGCAGTACCAAGGGGAGCAGACTCACAAGCACCTAGTGCTGCAGGGACTGTACCAGGGGCTATACCAGGATCCGGCGGCACACACGGGTAGCAGTCATCCTCAGCACTAACAGTCAATGTTTACATAGCAGCAAGAATTGCCTCATAGTCAAGATCAAAGATAGGTACATGACGCTTGAGCAGGTCTGCCCAGTTGGGGAACTCAGTAGCATCAGGAAACTTGGCTCGCCAGGCGTCACTAAGCCGAGCGAAGCAGCGCTGCTCCGTGTGAAACCCTGTGCACTGGCGACCAGTGCGGGGACCTGTGCGAATGATATAGGGGCAGCGACCAGGACCCCCTGAAGCCCCACGCCCGGCATACCAGTCAAGAAGCTGCTGGGAAGTGGGGGTCTGGCACTGACGCTGCTGCTGCTGCTGTTGCTGCTGCTGCGTTTGCTGCTGGCCCGGACCACCACTGCCACCACCGCTCCCCCCTCCCCCACTGCTGCCGCTGCCACCTCCACCGCTCCCAATGCCCCCGCCGCCCCCACCACCACCTCCACCACCTCCACCCCCACGACCACCCCCACCACCTCCACCTCCCCCGCCGCCTGCACCACTGCCACCTCCACCGCCACCCCCACCTCCCCTGCCACCCTTGCCGCCCCTGCCGCTGCGACGCTTCCCACTAGGAGCGGAAGCAGCCCCGACCTCCTCAGCACCAGGGTAGTCGTGAGCAGCGGCTGCGGAGGCGTAGGAGGGGGTGAGAGGGGAGGGGGAGCACCCCTCAAAGAGGGGAGAGCGCGGAGTGCCACGAGCAGCACCTACACCGAGGATGTTCTTCTCTGCTGCTAGGAGGTGCTTCTCGAAGTCGTCGACAGTGATAGTGGGGGGGTCGAGCGCTAGGAAGTGGTCTCTGACTGAGCTAAGAGTGTCAGGGAGGCGGGTGACGAGGAAATAGAGAGTGAAGTACATCGGGGGGGGGGGGGGGGGGGGGGGGGGGTTCGGCGCAGAACTCTGCTGAAAGGGCGGCACGAAAGCGAGTGTCAGTGGCGCGCAGGTGGGAAATGAGGTCCTCAGCAGTGGTGGACGAGGAAAGGTCGGGGAACAGGTAAGGTAGCATGAGTCGACCTATGGCTGCAGTGGTCGGGGAGGAGTAGCGCGCAACTACAGCGTCGTACAGTGTCTTGGCAGTTTTGTGTTGGCTGAAATGCGCCCGCTCAGTAATCGGCAGGTGGTTCCTAATAGCGAGGCGTGCAGCAGCATCGCGAGTCTGCCACTGTGAGCGTTCGAGAGCAGGAGCATCGGCAGCAGGAGCAACGGCAGTGCCAGATACGTAATCGAACAGGGAAACGCCCTCTTTGGCATCGGTCAGAAGGAACAGCTGGAGATCGTCTAACCACACAGCGAACTCTATGGGGCGACCGTCAGGCTCGAACGCTAGAACGTTAGGCGTCGTCATAATGGCTCCAGGCAGAGGCAGGAGGCAGCAGGCAGTAGACAGGAGGCAGCAGGCACCAGGCCACAAGCAAAGGCAGAGGCATCAGGCAGCAGGCAGGAGGCAGCAGGCAGCAGGCAGGAGCGGCCGCACGCGAGCCCCTAAAGCAGTACGCTAAGCAGTAGCGGGCCGCGCAGGCGGCCGACGCGACGCGCGGCGCAGCGGCGGGCCGCGCTGGCGACAGATGCGGCGCGCGGGGCGACGGCGGGCTGCACGCGACGGCGGGCTGCGCGCGGCAGTGAGCTGCGCGGGCTCGACGCGAGCTGCGCGGGCGACGCGGGCCAGCGCACGGCGCTGCAGCAGTGGCGCGCGCTAAAAACAGTGACGCACGCGCTAACAGCCGAGGCGCGCGCGAAAAAAAAGATGACGCGCGCTGCAGCCGAGGCGCGCGCGGGCAGTAGGCAAGGCAGGTAGGGTAATACAGTTAGGTGGGCCCGATTCTTAGGTCCTAGAAACCTCCTGCTCTGATACAATGTAGAGACTAAGTCATAGGGAATGATTGATTAGGTCAAGGTTGGGGTACAAGACTAGAGTGTCGAGATTGTTTTTGTACCCTCTAAGGCTAACCCCAATACAGCGTAGATGATAACAAGCATATCTTTTGACATAGATATATTTTCCAGGTGTGGTGGCGTGTGACAAAAGGTCTCAGCTTGTCCACTTTATACCAATAACAACCCAGTGCGCACTCAGCTTTTGAAATGTCGTAGTATCGCGAATGGATTCTTCAGACAGCCCATTCCGTATGGAATAACCACCACACCACCCACCCTAGTCAGCAGGCCTCAGGTTCCACCTCACGCCGCAGGGTCCGCCAGGTGTCCCTGGCGGACAGCGCACCTGATGCGCGCCCCGATAACGGACGGCTGATCAATCGGCTCAGCTTCATTTGAAATGCCTACCTATCGTGCACAGCACTCATTCTTGCGCGCGCATGCCCAACCACGCGAACATCCCCCGCTTGCGGAAGCGCAAGCTGGTTGGTTGGTTGGTTGGTTGCCTCCCCCTGGTTTGCCTCACCACCACTGGTAGAGAACTCGAGGCGCCACGGGAACATCGAGGAGATGCAGCCTCGGGATTCGCTCCTGCATTTCACAATTCTCCTCGGCGATTCTCCGCAACCACTTCCCCCTCCGCCCTCCGCCACCACCAGCCTCCCCCCCTTCCACCCGCAGCTGCAACCAACAAACCCAACCCACCCAAACCATCACACCTCCCCCCCGCCCCACCCACACTCGATTTCTCTCCACTTCCAACCAACCTAGAAGTCTTCACCTGAATTGAAATACAGCTGTTGTGTTCATTTGTGTTCATTTTATTCCCGTCGAACTTGCTTGATGGTTGACATAGCCGGTCCGGCCGGTAGGAATACTTGCTTCTGCTTTTGCTACCATCTCTAGCCTCCTTGCTCTTTCAGCGGCAGTACCATTCGGCTATATCAACGCGTTCTCGTTGACCAGAAAGATTCTGCGGTCTCTCTACCAAACAGCTCAGGGAAGCTAGGGAAGGCCGGCTGACCCTAACAAGCTGCTAGCTCGCGCAATCCATTAATTTTGTGCTAACGCGAATAACGCGTGACAGACATATTCGTCTCTGCCTATCTCGGGACGTCGCAGGTTCGATTTCTGAGACGTCTCAGGCTCGAAGACGCCTCAAAATCCGTACCTGACCATCATGGGGTTCTCCCTTCATGGATCCGCCTCTGCCTTTCTCTTGTTTCTCCTCGCCTTCGCCACGTTTCAGCCTCTGATCGGCGAAGCCGCATCGCGCGAGAGCCTCGCGCAGGCTCTATCGTCCAGAATCCGCCAATCTCTCATTAGATCCAATCCCACCTCCTCGCGATCGCTCACGGCAGCGGGAAACGCTATTCAGCAGCGGAGGTCTCTCAAGGCTTACACCCCTACCGCCTCGAGCCAGCTCGAGAAGCCGCTTCATCTTACCTCCTTAACTCGCGTCCCTCTCGACTATTTCCACGAATTCCAGGCGCCTCGACCAGAATACGAAGGCGTTCCGCATGCCAAGTGCCATGGCGGCCAATGACCGGAATTTAAGGGCTGCGGAGTTAGATTTCCGTCGCTTAAAGCCTGCTGGAACCCCCAGTACGTCGATCCGTTCCGCGGCCCGGGAACCGTCGCGGATCAGAGGCGGCAGCTGCATATCCTGCAGAAACGCGGGAGGGGAAACCCCCTGGATTTGTGCCTGGAAAATTCAGGTGAATCCCCAGGTGATCTGCTGCGGCCAGGGTGTCCTGGGCCCCAGGATCCCGTCGATACGAAGACGATGAGGGTGACTAAAGACTGGGAGAAGAAATGGGCCGGGCAGGTGTTTATGCTGGAAAACGTTTACGTGAACTGGCGCGGGCAGGTGTTTAACGAGACGCACCTGTTCGACTCGTCGGGCTGCGTCACCGAATTAAACGTATGTTGAACCTCCCTTCACCGTGACGCATCTGTTCTCCCTGTCATTGCCCCATCTTCCCCCCATCCCCCCTCCCTCCCCCTACCCCGTACCGCCTCCCCGCCCCTCGCCCAATCCCCCTCCGCATCCCGGCCCCCCTCCCGCTTCCCCTCCGCCTCTTTGCCCCTTCTTCCTCATTTCTTATTACTCTTCGTCCTTCCCTATCCGCCAGTTTAAGCTCTTCACTAATATCAGCTGTATAATAAACAATGAAAAAAAAAGAACGAACGAATGAAATGATAATCAGCACATCATGTATGAACACTTGTTTACCAAGGATCCTTCCCACCCACCCCTTCCTCCCCTCCTCCCTTTTTCCTTTTCACCGAGCAGGTTTCTTACCCCGCAGGAACACACGTTACCATGCACCGTGACGTGGTGAACCTGCTATCTGACGTGGCAGATCCTCGTGCTGAGGTGTTTCACGAGCTCACGGACCTTCTCCCCATGATGCTGCCTCTTAAGGAGGTGCTACCGAAACTTAAAGACGCCATTATAGTGGCCCGGAGCAGAAAGGTAAGAGAGGGGAAGGGGGCCGGGGAGGGGGGAGGGAGGGAAGGGTATCAACGAAATGTGGAGATTGTTAAAGAAACAGCAGAAAGAGGGGTTGATTACGGTGCTGGAAGTTGTGGGATGTGATGTGAAGCATGAGGGAGTGGGGATAAAAGAAAGGGATTGCTGATAGTGTGGCAATCTTCTCTCCACTTCCCCGGGGGTTACAGAGAGAAAGGAGGACGTATCTGGGACGAACCAGAGAGGGATACAATGGTCAAGGAACGAGTGGGCGAGAAACAGAAGGATGATGAGCCTAGTTGTCATCACTATCTTCCTGTAGGTAGTGGGCAGTTCTCAAACTGCCGCTCATAGACCCCTTCGCTGACCCCGTTTCTTCTCCCTTCCCTTCCTCCCCGTGTCCCCTCCCTTCCCCTTTGGCAGCTCCTATCAGCAGTGGCCAATAGAGTTCTCAAACTGTCCGTCACAGACCACGAAGTGCAGGGGGTAAAACCCGGAGTACCCCACCTTTGGTTCGTGCAAAAGCTCTACCAACCCGTCAGGCAGCAATGCCGACAGCCCAGCATGGCCCTATGGACCCAATTCCGCTCCAACCACCTCCTGCCCAGAGGGTCGCCCCAAGTCTTCCAAGAAATCGGTGCTGAGTCAGCAGCGGGGGGGTCGGAGGGAGGCGTGCCGGCGGATTGGGTGGTGGTGGTGGGTGTTGACGTGGCAGGGCGGGTGCAGGAGGCAGGATATATCAGAGACGCGCTGCGATTCTTTTATCCGGAGGACCGGATTGTACTCTTTAAGAACAACCTCAATGTTCTGGAAGGTAAGCATATTGCAGAATTGCACTTACAAGAGAGGAAAAAAATGTTCTCTCAGAGAACAAAGTAATTTATTTATGCACTTGCCCCAGTGTTCTGGAAGGTAAGCAATGCAGAATATGAGTGCTTATAACAACATTATCCAATCTCTCCTCCCTCCCCTTTCCCTTCAGCACCCCCCTACCCCACCCCACACCACACCCCACCTCCCCCAACCCACAATGCCCTCACCGCTTCATGCAACCTGTTTTTTTCTCTATAAAGAATGGGCTGCTGAAAATATTTACAGATAAATGAAAATTACGAGATAAGATGGACGTTCAGAAGAAAGTATCATTCTATTTCCTCACGTTTCCCCCACTTCCGACCCCTCAACCCACCCCCTATCCATTCTCCCCTCTATTCAACCGAGCAGTTTTCTTCATATCCACATCAGCCTCCCCTCTCGCCCACGACATGTTCATGCCACCCAATGTCTCTAACCCAACCCTCCTTCTCCCCCCTCTCTCCCATCCCTCCTACCCTCCAGCCAAGGACCTGTTCAACCGAGCTGTCCTCTTCATATCCACTTCAACCTCTGCTCTAGCACACGTCATGTTCATGCCACCCAATGCCACCGTCCTAGAGCTTCGGGCCGTTCTAGACCCCAGCAGTGCCGCCCAGAAACCAGGCTCGGCAGCAGCTGTAGCAGCGGATCCCGATCTGCCGACCAGGCAGCTCGCAGAGGCTTGCGGGCTTCGTCATTATCTTCTGCTCTGCGCCGCCCAGCCGGACCCGAAGCCGGTCAATGGGAACGCGCCGCTGCGCAGCCGCTTATCTTGCGACATGTGGCACGTGCGCGATGTGCTGGATAGGGTATCGCACGACGTGTACACCAGCGAGGTGGTAACCAGAGATACAGTCCGAGCCATAGCAGGTCCGACGGGCGGCAGGTTCGGGCTGAAGCAGAAGCTGATGGGGACGATGCTCAGGTCCGGGGAGGAGGTTCGGGCGTTCAACGATTGGATGGCATGCATTGCGAAGCAGGGTCGGTGGGATTACAACGCAACTCCCCGCGTGTTACCTTGGGAATACATGGGGACTATCAACCTGTGCGACCACCGGCATTGGGACGCAACGCAAGGGCTCATGCAAAAAAAATCAGACGAGTATGCTCTGTCAGGAGGGAACCCCGAGGGGTGGACGGTAGGGGAGAGTCTCAAGTACGACTGGAGGGTGCACGGAAGCTGCCCTATGCCCGTTCAGGAGCAGGCATGGGTTCCGTTTCAGCCTAACGATTTCTGCAGCAGGGTCGGCAAGAATCGGACGATTCTGTTCCTGGGAGATTCCCTGAACGAGCAGTTTTTCGGGATTTTTATCAACCAGATGTTGAGGGATGTGCCGAAGCCGGCTGATTGGGCGGTTAGGGAGTCGAAGCCCAAGTTCTGCGTTGACTGGGTCAACAATACGGAGATTCGGCACGAGTTTTGCCGGACCATTGAGTTTGCCGACCAGATCTGCCCGGGCCTGAAGATTTTGTTCATCCGAAGCGACCACCTGTGGCTCGGCGCGCCGAGACACTTCAGCGAGCTACAGTGGACGCGCATGTCGGAAGTTGCCGACTCGGATATAATTATAATCAACCGCGGAGCGCATTATACAGTGAACGAAGTGTTCGAGCCGGAAGTGCGATCAGTCATGACTTACCTCCGCAACAGATGGCCCCCAAAACTCATCATTTACCGAAACTCCCCGCCGGGTCATGCTGACTGCGAAAACGCAACGGTCCCGATTTCGAAACGGCAGGATCCGAGCATTCTTCCTTACAACTGGGAGAAGCTGAGTCAGCAGAATGAAATGGCACGAGGAATGGCGGAGGAGCTTGGGATTGTATACTTGGATGTTGATTCAATGACGGCTCTACGGCCGGATGGGCACAAGGGATGGAAGCCGGAGATCCAACGGCTGGATTGCCTGCACTACTGCACCCCTGGACCGTTGGATTCATGGATGGACATCTTGTACAATACCCTGCTCAGGACTCTGCCCCTTGCGTCTTAGGTACTGTTATAAAGGATTTCCACTAGTACTCTACATATGGTAGCAGCTTTGAATGACTACCAGTACCGTATTTATGCAAAATATTTGCAGGCAGGAAAGTTTACTGCTTATGGCTGCTACTTCAGAGGTTGGGTTGCTAGTCCAGTGGTTGAATGGCCTGTGAGAGCTGTTTCTGGTAAAGTGTGAGCACAGGGTGTGTAAATCCTTCGCGGTGCTGGGACTTATCAGCAAGGTACTACAAGAGCTGGGCACTGGGATGGACAGGTCACATCCTGTCAGGAGTGGGATGTGCAATCCTATCAGCAATGTGCTTCAGGAGCTGGGCAAAAAGGTGAAGAGCCAGACCAAAAAAAGTTAACCAGCGAAACGGCTTTGTGATCAGCGCTGCGCATCCGGGGAATCGAACCCCGGTCAGTACCGTGGGAGGGTACTATGATACCACTACACTAGATGCGCATGTTTCAATAAATTTAAAATAGTAATTAATTAATATTTGACACATAACAACCAAGCCGTTACTTGACATCAGCGACACACCTGCGGCGCACCGAGCTTCCCTGTAGAGTGCCTCCAGTCCTCCCTGAGTGCTTCCTGCCTTGCACTCTTCTGTGTGACCTGTGTGTCCATCACCATGCAAGGCACACCTGTCCAGTCCCTAAGGGGGTGTGCCAAAATGTCCGTTTTCGCCCATACTCTACTCAACCCTTCTAAAACGCTAATGAAAATATGTAGAGCGTCAAGCATCTCTCTAAGCCGCACCCAAACGTACTATTCCGGCACACCCCCTGACCTGCCGTCCACCGCACCCCACCCAACCGAACAAACCAAACCAAGCTTGTCTTGCCTGCTTGCTCCTCGCCTTCCCCTCTTCTTCACCTGTCAGTTGATGCCTTTGTTAGGTGCGCTGCGGCAAAATGCGGTGTCTCTCCCCGATGCAGTTGGAATAGGAAGATCGTGGCGGCTCAAGTCGATTAAGCGCCAGTTGAAGAGCCCAGTGCTGCATTACTACGAAACGAGTCGATGAGTTGCGTGAAGGAGCACAATGCACATGTGTTAGTCCTTGGCACGCTAAATTGGAGGCATTCGGCATTGTCTTGAATATTCTTCAGAGCATACGGGCTACAGTAGATTGTAATAATATAGTCTCTCACGATTCTAAGACAATGGCGCGGATAGACCCATTGCGTCGCACATTGTCGTAGTAGGAGGCACCGCGTGCTGTCTCTGATTGTATCTGATCTGTTTTGATCCGATACAATCCCATTGCGTATCCTTGATCCTGGATCCTGGTTCCTGCACTCCCATCGTCCAAGCCGCGCATTCCCCCGCCATTATTAACTAGCTCAGGCGCTGATTTTGCGAACACTATTTCCTCCTCCTCTCATGTGCTCATGGCGCCTTCACGATTCTCGAGGCCGCCTGGCTCGGCTATCCTCCATATAATCCTCATCGTTATAACCGCATTCATTATAGGGTCGCTCGGTGCTGACTCGTACTTCTCTCCAGCCGATTATCGCCTCGTATCCTGTTTGCTAAGGCGACTGGAAACCTCGTCTGTAACAAAGCCCCTTATAAAACTACCGAGCAATCGTTATAACGCGTCTGATCGTTCGTCATTACCCAGGATCTCGGCCGTCGATCGCCTGCTGGAACCACGTCCACCGTCCGATTCCTCGTCGCCGCGTGATCTGCGGACACCCTTCCAACCCTCCCGATCCGCTAAGGACATAATTCAGCGGCGACGCTTACAGGTTCTCCAGCCCTCCGGCCGAAGAGCTGGAAAATACTCCCTGGGGAAGCCGATTAATCTCTCGAAACTGAAGCTCGTCCGCTTCGCTCCTCTCACCCCTCTCGCCTCCTCGTCAGACGTCTCTGTTCCAGCCGGATCAGTTTCTTGCAAGGGGAAACCGTGTCCGGATCTTTCCCCCTGTCCCGGGTTCGCCGGAAAGGTCGCCACGTGTTGGAATCCCGCGGATCCGGTCGATCCCGATGCTGACCTGGCAGCGTACGGCCCTACGATTCTCCTGAACCGTACGCAGTCGCGGATCCACTTCAGCACGGGAGTTAACCCGCTGGATCAATGCTTAGAAGACGACGGGACGCAACCAGGCCACCTATTGCGACCCAGCTGTCCTCCTGACGACGATCCGGGACCAATCACCTTGTCGCTTAGAACGGCCGAGTTACGAGCCGCGCAGGAGCAGGCGCAGCGGGAGGCGCAGGCGCGGCGGAGATTAAAGTGGGGTAAGGCGGCTAAGAAGGCCCCGGAGCCGGCGGGTGCGCTGTTTGTGCTGAGGGACGTGTTTCTGGATGGCGAGGGCCGCGTGTTCAACGCCACGCATCGCTTCGATGTGTCAGGATGCGCCACGTCATCGTCACAGGTGCGTCCGTGCTGCCCGTGCTGCCCGTGAGGGTATTTCAACGTGAAGTCCCGGTTGCTTTTTTGTCGGCTGTATTTTGAGGCGCCTCAAAATGTCGGCTCAAAGGTCCCCCAGCTGCGCACGTGCTGTGCTGTGCTGACCGTGCTGCCTCGGGTTGCTGCCTCTGCCAGCAGCAACCCTTTCTCACTCCCTTTCTCCCTCACTCACTCCTTTCCTTACTCCCTCTCTTTCTCCCTCGCCACCCTTGCTCCCTCCCTTCGCTCCTGGTTGCAATAATTCTCCCTCTCTTCCATGCTTCCTCCTCTCTCCCTCGTTCCCTCCCTCGTTCCCCTCCTCCCTCCCTCCCTCCCTCCCTCCCTCACTCCCTCCCTCCCTCCCTCCCTCCCTCCCTCCCTCTCTCCCTCCCTCCCTCCCTCCCTCCCTCCCTCCCTCCCTCCCTCCCTCCCTCCCTCCCTCCCTCCCTCCCTCCCTCTCCCCCTCCCTCCCTCCTCTTTCTCTCCCTCTCTCCCTCCTTTCCTCCATCCCTCCCTCCTTCCCAACCCCCCTCTCTCCATCTCTTCCCTTTCCCCTTCCGTTTTTTTATTGATAATCAGACGGTGTATGGAGTGGACACACACGTGTCTCGCCAAGAGACTGTACTGAATCTGCTTCTACCGGGTCACTTTATGTCGAGGCGCCCTCTGTACGATCAGATTCTCATGGTGTTGCCGCCCCTGCTGCCGCTGCACCACGTGCTGCCGTCCCTGCGCCGAGCCAAAGTCGTCACTCACGCCAAGAAGGTATGGTGGAGTGTGGTGGAAGACGGTAGAATGCGGTAAAGTGTGGTATGAAGTGGTGTGAAGTGGTTCAGTGCGGTAGTATCAGATATGAGGCGTCCCTTGTACGATCAGATTCTCATGGTGCTGCCGTCCCTGTGTCGAGCCAAAGTGTCACTCACGCCAATAAGGTGTGGTTCAGCACAGTGGAATGCGTTTTTTGTGGCATGAAGTGGTCGAGAGTGGTGCATCGAGGTGGAGAGGCGTACCCTGTACGTCAGTCCCTGATGGTGCTGCTGTTGATGAAAAGACTCCTTTTCTGCTGCCGCTGCACCACTTGCTGCCGTCCCTGTGCGGAGCCGAAATTGTCACTCACGTCAAGAAGGTACGGTGCAGTGCGGTGGAATGAGGTGTTGTGCGCCTCCTGAACAATTTTGTCACACCTCATGTGCAAGACATCCTTATTTTAGCTGCAATTTATGATCAAATGACAATCACTGTTTTCCCAGCAGATCGTATCTCCTCCAGTCTAAACCCAGACCTTCTCATAAACCCGAAAGCCTCTCCCCTTGAACCCTAAAGTCTCGCCTTCAAACCCTAATTCCTAACTACTCAATCCTAGAGCTCATCTTACACTCTTCTTTCTCCCTCGCTCCCCCTTCCCCTCCCTCCCTTCCATCCAAACCACAGCTACTGCAGCTGCTCATATCGCAGCTGCTGGGACTGCCTCTAGCGAAGCACTCCTTTCTCTCCACCACCGATGGCACCACCTCCAGCAAGTACCTGTGGCACGTGCAGACTCTCTACCAGCCAGTCATACCGCACTGCACCAATCCCGACCTCCCTCTCTGGAAGCACTTTCGCAGACGCTTCCTCCTCCCCACCCCTCCCCTCCCAGACCCCACCGCCGATGCAACCACTCCCACTCCCACCCTCTCCTCCTCCTCACGCTCACTCACTCAAGACTCTGCTTCTCCTCTCAGCGACCCCTCGTCTCCTCTAGAGCTGGTGCCAAAGGTGCCGCCTGGGTTCCTGGATGGGGCGCGATCGGTGTTCCCGTCGCTGCCGGCTCTGCCAGTGGAGGGATACGCACAGGGA